TATTATTATAGGAGGTTATTGTAAGGGAGGAGGAAGAGATGCACATTATGAAGATATGTAGGATATATAACAGTTGATCCTAGATTTAAAGAGATTTGGATTGCAGTAGTCAAGGAAGCATCCTCTTGAGAATCTGCACCATAAAGTGACAGTTCTGGGGAAGAAGCTGTCTGAGTAGAACTTCCTCCTTACCAATGGAATATGAAGAGAATGAGAATGAGTTGACCCTATTTATATGGCATGGTGGGTCCTAGAACAGTAAATACAATTGCGAAAGTACTATATCACATCAGGCCAACATATATAAGGCTGGCAACTATCAATATGGATGTAGGTAGAGAGAATACAACAGAAATGGAAGCTATTGCTGTTAAAAAGGAGAAACATGATGCAATGATAAAATCTATTGCTACTGTATTTATTGCTCGTCCTCCCATTGCTTTAATATTGATAATAAAGAAAATGAGCAATTTTTAGCAATTGAAATCAACACCAGGCCTGATATCAGGTTTACATTCTTATAAAGCTATTACATCCAAGTACCATATCTATATAACAATATATGGCAGTTGATAAGACACACCCATATCTTACAAGGGAACTTTTGTGAGAGAGGGCATAAAGAGAGGAAAAAAAATTCATCCTTTATTGTTTGTATAAATGAATATTTCAGTATCTGACCACCCTCATCCCACCCCATCTGTAAGTTCAGAGCATTAGACACAGGGATATTTTTCTACTTTTGCACAAGGGTAGAATCAACACAAAGTGGGAGTAGTTCAAAAACTTGCTCAAGCTATCCATGGCACTTCCCCTGTTGAATGCCTCAAGCATCAAAGATTAATCCTGACCCTACTCATCTGAGTGCAATGGACAGGTGGATAGTCCCTTAGAGCTGAGCTATTATACTTATTACTCTGGCTACAGATAATTGGGGTTCTATCAGTGCCAAAGTGATGTCTGTATTTTTTTTTATAGGCAAATAAAAATAGTATTTTGATACTAGTACAGTAAAGTTACAATTCTTTATTTCCACTTATACATAGTATATCCTAACTATTATTATATTCAGATCAAGTTTAAGATCAGTAGCAATAATAGAATTTATTATTTTCTTAAATAGTCCTATATGTTTAATACTTTTGTGTGTCACTGTATATGCATAATTATTAAATATATTATAATTTTGCTTGTCCTCCCTTAGTTTGTTCGTTAGCATGTAAATACATCACACCCTGCCAATGACTCATAAATAGCAGACTATTCCATTTTGGTCACATCAAAAGATGGAAAAAACAGAGATGCTACTTGGTTTCAGTGATAAAAAGAAAGAAATGCATTGTCAATACCTCATTAAGTAATGGACTGTTTCATTTTGATCACAAGGAAAAGACATTGATTGATTTGGTTGTTTAACAGCATGTCAACTCCTTATGGATCATTTAATGCTGAAATTTACTTCTCTTAGGAGCTTTGAAGTAATAAAAGTATAATATACATTATTCTGCTTTCACAATTGAATACATGGTAGATGACACTCAGCTTTTGTGTGTATATATGTTTATATGGACATGATTACTAGAGGTAGTGATATGTATATTTTAGGTTGTAGTTATATTTTGCAATACAGTTTGATTTCTTTCAGAAATTGTAGAATATTATATGGACTAATGCCATGAAAGAGTTCTTTAATGTTGGTTGTTTGGTTAGTTGATTTTGTTTGGCAGCATATCAACCTCTATGGGCTATTTAATGCTGAAAGCTTAATATTTTTTACATAATTTTATGCTTTTAGAGTATGGGTATTTTTTTTTTAGATATATATTTTGTACATCATAAAATGTATTGTTGGTAATTTTGCTATAAAAATGTTCTGTTGATTTTTATTTATGGGTTCACTATTTGCTTATAACTGAGACCCTAACAGGTGCTACCACCCCAGGTTAGGGTGGACCTTGGAACAACAGCAATTAAGAGGTGGTTCCATGCTACTCAAAACTTCCAATATCCTGATCAGAGGCTTTGCTGCCAGATGTAGTTTATCATCATACCCAGGACAAAGTAAGAAAGAAAACAAAATTAAAAGAGGAAAGGTGTAAAATTTTCACAACTACTACTTAATATTATTTTTCCACAACTTTAGATAAACCTTGTTAAACACACATTTCATAATGTTTTCTGTCAAAAATAAATGGATCACATGATAAAAATGTTTAACCACTTTCTTCAGTTAACTCTGAAAATGATTAACCTTGTGCCAAACTAAATAAACCTTATTAAATAATTTTTTTAAAAAAGAATGAGTAGCCAATTAGATAGAATAACTAGGCTCAGACTAGTCTTGTAAAATCTCTACCAAATTAATACTAATTTCAATATTACTATACATATCTTGATGGTCTTTGCTTATCAATTTAGACACAAGCTAATGAAATAATTCATATTTATTAACTATCAGGAAAAAAAAAACATTGAGTTTATCATTTTTGCGTATTGTGTTTATATACTTCAATATTGTAGGATATACTTATTAATGCATATTGACTAAAAGACAATCAAAACCCAGGCATAAGTAACATGAAACTGTTTTGTGCTCAGACAAAGCCTGACTGAACTGTCCAATCTGAGATGCTATAATACTTATCTTTAAATGGCATTTATCAGTAATATTTCCATCAGATCAGAGAAATCAATACAAAGGTCATTTGTAAGTTGATTGCAATGAATCAGCAAAGTGAAAACCAATTTTGTTAAAAGAAGAGCAGCCAAAGGTAAGTCATGATCCCTGGCTATTGATTGCTCAAGGAAAGATTTGTCTGTTGAGACAGTACCTTCCAAAAATTAAGCAACAAATGGAAAATTTTAGTGTCGGAACCAACATTGGATTTAAAGAATTATAAGTGGAAGAGTCTTGTTCTGATTTATTCTGAAATTAGATGACATTTACAGATTTTTAACTAAAAGAAATAACCTTTTAGTGCTCAATCAAAATGTCCCATTATTATAAATAAATGGGTACTAAACAGTAATGGACTTACACACATGAAAAAAAAAAAGAACTAAATGAAGCTGTATTCTACAACTACAAATATATGTGTACATTTGAAGATATGGTTCAATGCAAGAAAAAAAATTCCTTCCAGATATTTATAATTTTTGTTATCAACAATATGAAAAGTGCCTATTTCAAAAGAGGTAAAAAATCTTTGTACTTGTAAAATCTGTAGTACTAAAGTTTACAAGTGAATATATAAGGGTCAGCTAGAAAGTTCATAGGCTGACCAAGATATAAATGTAAGTAGACACACTAGTTGGTAGGTACACTTGTAGGTCTTTTAGTCTACCAACTGATGTGTCTACTTAAATTTATATCTTAGTCAGCCTGTGAACTTTTCAGCCAACCTTCATCTAATATTCAAACATTAAAATGCCATTGTTGCTCAGCATAATCATCTGCTGTCTATAACTTTTATTAAAGTCATTAAAATTCCAAGATTTGTTTGAACTTGTACTTTGTGATGCTGACCTTGTTACTACACAATATCCTTATCCATTTTAGTCTTCTTAAAAGGTACATCATCCATTATGAAAGAGAGCTTGTTCTGTAAAAGAGAGACCTCTCTCTTTCCTTGAAGATGTATATCAGTAGCACAAAGAATAAGTTCATTTGATTGAACAAATATTAGAACTGTCTATTTCTACAAACTGATAGGTTAGGTTTTTTGGGTTTTTTTAATAATTACATAGTGTTTTAAAATTAGCCTATTGCAAAAGAGTAAAACAGTACAATGGTTATCAGCATGAAAAAATGGAATCAGCAAGCAGAGTTCAAAATCTAATAAAGGCTGTTTGCATTCACTTCTGATTAAGGCCCTTTGGAAAAAGCATGAAACTTCTACTTATCAATGAAATATTAGGGCAGACTAGACACTTTAGCCTTGGTAGAGTAAGCAGTACAGAAAAAAGGCAAATTTGGACTATTCTAAACAGGATGGGTTCTATCAGATTACTTTGTTCTGTTCTAGAAACATCTCAGAAAGAATGAGCTTATTCACTATTTTGGGGGGGTTTTTCATAGCTGAAATGATTTTGATGCATAACACTTTCATGAAATGCTTCTTCTGAACTAACTATAAAACTTATCTTTTAGATAATCACTACTTTTTAACTATTGTAGTCCCAAAAGGAATGCAGTGATGTTACAAAGGAATCAGTATTATTATTATTTTAATTACATTATTTACACTTGGACTATTATCCTCATCTTTGTTAGTGGGTGAATTGTCTGAATGTAAATCATGACTCCTCATCCCAAAATTTCAGGCTGAAAAATTTTAATGCTCAGCTTCTGAAGGGATTATCCTGTGTCTTTTCAGAACCATGAACTAATCCATTTAGGTACTTGTTAACTACCATGGTCCCAAGAGGAATGCAGAGATGTTATACTGGAATGGGTTGTCATCTGACAAAGCTAACTTCTATTTTTTTTTTTTTTTGCTTGTTTCATACTCAACCAATGTACTGACCTGTTCCCAAACAACCCCCCCTAACAGTAAAATAATTGAAGTAGTTCCACATTGTGCTAATCTTCACAATTCAAAAGATTTCTTACCTGCCATAAGTAATATTCACAGTGAAATTCTTCAGTGTAGAATATGCAACAGTTTGATGGTAAAAGTTAGATCTGGATAGGGAGATGAGATGTTACTGTCAACATCAAAAGAGCAAGAAAATATCACTCCATGGTGGTCATTTCTTACAATACAAAACTATATCAGTGAAAGATTTAATAATGTTTTGAAATATCTCCATTTATTTATAAGCTATTATTAATACGTCAGTTGAGCAGGAAATGTAACAAAATGAAGCAAGCTTTGTCTGGTGATAGCACATTCCAGTCTAACATCAGTATATTCCTCTTGGAACCACAATAGCTAACAAGCACCACATCATCATATATTAAAAGGTGAAAAGGAGAGGCTCAGTAGAATAGGATAACTTATGGCCATATCCCATTGAAACACCAATTCTGATACAATCACTGAAGTTAAGCAACATCAAGCCTGATCAGTACCTAGATGAGTGGCCACTTGAGAATAGCAGGTGCTGTAAGCTTGGATGTGTGGGTGGTACAATGGATAATGGTTTGGATTTGGAAATTGAAGAGCTGAGTTGTAATACCAGAGGTATTTGTCATTCACTTACACACAAATACCATTGAGAAAGGTATGAATCCACCTTTTCTACCCCCCAATTATGGGTTAATTAGTAGGACTTGTATCAGAAAATGATTATTATCTCCAAAATAATTATTACAATGTAAAAATATTTTCTGGTTTTAAATAACTTGCAGAAAGGTTGATAAGCCATAAAAAACAAATCATTCAGATAGAGCCGTATTCCATCAAGACCAAGAAATGGATATTAATTTATGAACGTTGCTCACCTCTCTTGATGACTTTCAGGAGAAAGTATTTCCAGTAATGAGACAAAGTTGAGTTTAATTATCTAAGGTGTGAGCCAGAAATTAATTTAACAAATGAGGTTTAATTAAACAATTAGTACCATATGCATATTCAGATATTTATTTTTCTCATTATCACCAGAGTATCAGAAGATCCAAATATAACTTCTTAAATTTACCTAAGAACTGTAGGTGTTAAACTTGTGATCACATAATGACAATCAAAATCTGAAATAATCATTATCACATTTGGCAAGTTTTTTTTGTTTTTTTGAAAATAAAAAAAAGCTTCATGTGAAAATATGACAAATCTTTTGGTTCTTAATATTTTTGACATCATTTACTAAACTTAACTCAAGGCCCCAAATATGGGACACCCAGTGAGGATCAAACTCATTACTTAATAATAACAGCCAGCCAGACTAGCTCATTAACTCATGCCAAGAACCCCTCTTAATAATATCCTTGAATGACTAATTGAACTGAACTCAAAGTAAATGACCAACCCTAATCTGGAATAGAACCTTTAATCGTACAAGTCTAATCTCTTACAACTGCCCTACACCCATTTTATTTTTTTCTGGTTTCTCAACCATACTTAATGAAAACATCTGCAAAAACAAAAGATTAATGCTTAAGCATTTATAAGCATAATATACAACCCATGAGCTCCAGGCACACACAAAACTTTAATAAATAAATAAATAATATTGACTTGCAAAAAAAAGAGATCCATTTGGTTTATTAAGTAAAAATCAAAGACAATGTTTTATTTTTGACATTAACTTTATTGAAGAACATAATTACTGTTTTGTTTCACTATCTTCCTCACATATCCACATAAACTCTCACTTTGTAACCTCTGACATTGAATGGCTACTGGGCTTTGTACAGGGCGAACATTATCAATGTAAAAAAAAAAAAAAAAAAAAAAAACATTATACCATCTTTCAGGTAACTACATAATTACAATCTCCAAGAAATTTTGATCTTTCTCAGTAAAGAATTGTTCCAGGTGGCTATTGCAGTCTCCCATGGAACTGATTTTTTTTTTTTTTTTTAAAGAATGAAAAATGATAATTCAACAATTCAAAATCTTATGAATATAGCATATGAGTGAAAACTTTCCAGCTGTTGTAATTATTTTTGACTGGTCATCAAAGAAACATGAAGTTTAATATTATCCTGATGAAATATTGCAAAAATAAAATTAAATTTATTAACAGAATATATTTTTGTAATATTTAAAAGTAAGGTTCTCCTTAAAGCTCACATAATAATGATCAATATTTGTCTGAGAAAAATACCTGAACTCTTTTTTATTTTAATTAAAAAAATATTAAATAAAAATGATCTACCTACAGATAATTTTTTCATTTTGCTGAATGATTTGTACTTGTAGCTAAAACAAAATGTAAAAAGATGCTAGCTAACCAAAAGTTTGTCACATTTGATGATTAAAAAAAAAAAAAAATCATCAAATACTATATTTTTATTAGTATCTTTCTTCTTTGAAGTAGTCCCTCACATTTTGTTTGTACACTTGCTCACAAACAGTAGAAACAAAAGTCTTTACTAGATTCAATTTAAATACAAAAATTATTGAAACTCTTGGATAGCATATACTGTGACATGTATTCCTAGTTTTGTCAACCCTGTATGAAATATCTTCAATTTTAAAAATACTAAAATGGAAAAAGAAAAATCAGTAAAGGAAGAAATTTTTTCATGGCAAATTATTTTGTTTAATTGAAATTCTTAATTATTTTAACTGCATTATTCCTGAATAGCATTTTTTTTTTATCATCTTTAAAATAATCATAATGATTGCAACAGTGGTGCAACAGAATTAATAAGGATAACAATTCCCTAATATTCTCTGTAACCTTTAAGATTCAAAAGGATAATTTCTTTACTCTTGTGATTCTATTCAGCCATTCCTAATATAAATAGAATTTCTGCCAAGGCTTTCATATTATCAAGAATTTTTTGTTTTGATTTTAATTGCTGCTTTAGAAATCCTATTTTCTCTTACGATGGGTTGAATAGATTTTATAACTTTATACAAATTAACATTTTGAAGATGATAAAGAGATTTTTTTCTCAGATAATTCAGATGATAGCTCTGGTTAAAACATTGAACAGAAATCAAAAAGGTCTTACAGTTCAATCTAAAATAAGCTTATTTTTAGCCATCTTACAAGAGGAAATTTAACTTAAAAATTTTTTTAAAAAATTAAAGCACTGATCACCATTTTAGTATTCAGAATTATTATTATTTGTAATTTATATTTCTGAAATGGTATGGTTTAAAAGATATTGAATTATATAAAATGCAGTACAGAGTATGCATTTTTTAAAAATTGTTTCACCCCAAGTAAGGCAATAATGCCAATATGATGAAAGATGTTTCTGAGAGTGAAAGAAAATGAGAGAATGTCATTGAGGAGAATGGACAATAAAAGAACAGGATTCAAAAAAATAGAAGATGGTAATTAACATTGCATTTAAATTTTTGAAGATTGTAGATGGCAGGAAAACAAGAAGCGAGAAGAGAGATCCACAAGCAAGAAGTGCAAGAAAAACTATTAGATTAGAACTTACAGTTACATCTAGCTATCCCAATAGTAAAAAGGTGAGACCTAGTTACCAATCTAGTAGTACGCTTAAATTCATGAGGTCAAGGTACCAAAGAGGATAGCTTACTAGAAGAATTGCCATGAAAATATTTATTTAAAAAAAAAAAAAAAAAAAAAAAAAAGAGAGTACAGTGGAGTCACATTATAAGTGACTGAAGCTGAAATGTAGGGTCAGGAATAATAACTTTACAGATTCTTCTTTGGTTTTTCTTAAGAATCTAGGAGATATATAGCCAGAGCAGCAGATTAGATGTGGTGGCAATATTCAATGCACAAACAAAAAGGTAGATTTATAAACATGCAAGATGGATTCTAATTTTTTTTTCTTCATACACACCCAAAGCTTCTTCCGTGTTATACTAATCACAAAATATTTGTAATTAATAAAATATTTTGAATGGTGTCATTGTTTTCTTTAATTCTCTAAGATTTAGCCATTTTTAAGACTTGATAAACAAATGCTATATACATAAAGATATTGTGACTATATTATAAACATTATAGATTATTTTTTTAGAATAGTTATATTCAGACATGAAGTCTATTCACTATCACAAATTCATTTATACCACAGTGGTTTGTGGTTTCAGTTAACCTCAGAAATAAACAATTCATGTTTTACATAATAATGGTCTAATGGTGCAAGAGTATTGATATTGGCAATTTGGAAGTGCCAAAGAGAAACCATTAGGTGCTTTCTTTAAGTGAAAAGATGAATGTTCTTCATTTAATAAGGAAAGGAAAAAAGTTGTATGCCGAGGTTGCCAAGACCTACAGTAAAAATGAATGAATCTTCTATCCATCACATGAACTTTTATTACATTTTTTTTTGATTGGAGAAAGTGTGTGTATAAATAGGCTAGGTTTATTTATGGTCATGATCACTAGATGGCTAAACACACACACACAGAGGAGTCCATGGGTTAATAGGTTTTCAATTAGTGCACTGAAATTTTTTAATACCAAATTTTGATTAGTGTATGCATAATACTCGATTAGTGCAGTAAAACATTCTTCAGTTTAACCATAGTAATTGAAAATTGATTTTTTTTTTTTTTTTTTTTTAGGTACTGATTAATTAAAAATTTTCTAAAATTTAAAAATGAAAAATGTATTTTGTTTGTCAATTTTGTTTATATTCGATTAATGCATATTTTTAATGTACACATTAGCTACACTAATCAAAGGATTTCTTGATATCATCTCCAGTATTAATTTGAAATTTCTATTTATTTATTTTTAAAATTTTTTCTTTTTTTTTTTTTTTTTTAAACGAACGCTACTACAATTCATTTCATGCATCTTTTGTTCTATTTTACTTTATTTCTCGTCTATGAAACAGTGTTCCCACATGACATCTGTGTATTTTTATAAAAACATATACTTTCTACCCGATGAGCTGGAAAACCAGTGAAACTTAAGTTTCACACCTAAACGTAGGTATTTGTATATGCATATTTATTAATATATATCTTTGCTCTGTCTAACCACATTGGGCACAGTTATGTTTACACCTCATGAATAAATTTGATGATTATTTATTTGCTTGCCTATCTATGTACACCAACACACGCATATACAGTTGCTTATATCTGGTTGTTTGATTTAACCAAATCTATACCTATAAACTATTTTATTCATTTATGTTTTGTATATTTTCTATTTGGTTTCTATATTTTGGTATTTGGATAAAGTTTATTAGAATTCTGTTATGGGATTTTACTTAATCTTTTTGGTCATCATGTGACTTTAGATAGTGCAGAAGGAATTTCTTTTATGCTTGTATTTGAAAATGGACTCGGATCATTTGTTTAATAGAACATCTTGTCCTGGAAAGGTAATTATCAATATTTTCTCTAAGAAATTGCTACTATGACACAGCAATACAATTTTAATGTCATAAATATACTCTATTAATTAGACAAGTCCATACCAAATAATTTCTCCTCGGGCAACATCAATATGAAAATAAACAGAAGAAATTTATCAAATCACATACATTTAATTAAA